TAAACTACATCCAAACGTGCTGGTAAGTACAATTATCAGAAAACTACAGAAACTTATTAAAACACCTTATATTTCTTACATAAACTATGATATTGTATTGTCACACAAAATTGAATGAGCAATAAAATAATTTTTGTAAATAAAAACATCGATTACTGAATTGATATTTAGTTGTTTCCAATATTTGTTGTCTAAATATTAGATCAAGTTACTAAGTATAATGCTTCATCTTTCCAAACTGATAATAAGCAAGTGTTTATTCAAGGTAAATAATGTTCATTACGATAAAGAATTTAATCATCATAAACATTTACTTTGTATGCGTCTTCATTGTGATAGAAATAAATAACATTTATTTTAAAAATTAAAAAAAACAGCAGCATTAATATCTTCAATTTTTTATTTTATCGAAACGAGAGCTGTTAACTTTAACTTTGTGAACTGTAGTGGTTGCAGATTCTTAATTTTTATAGTTAATTGCGGGCTCCTTATTCATTAAGTTTAAATGTTTTAAAATATAACACTGACATAGCTAATTGTCCATCGCCACTATAAATGATAAATTTCGTGGTAAGCTTGTACTCGTACCAATGGTTTTCAAAAAATTTTTTTTTCGCTGCCGTGCTACACTTAAATAATAAATAATAAGGCTATTTTTTACATTATTTGAGGTATAAAATAAGTAGCGTGCATTTTACTTGATATATCACCAAACAACTCAATACATAGCTTTATTTTTTTAAGGAGATGTTTTGTGTTCCGTACATTAACTTTTATCCATCTTGGATACAATAAAATTCCAACCATTCAATGTATAACCCCATTACACCAAAAAATAAAAGAAACCTGGACTTATCTTAGATTTTCAGTATTTCAACTTTTCAAAGCTAACGATTTATTACGGAGAATGAAATTTGTCGCCACTATATGAAGGCTTTAGAAATTCTTTCCAAAATGTTAATTGAATACATCAAAGTTACCTGACCTTTAATTTTTGTTATAAGGTAAAGTTTGTAAGGCTGTCATAACTTTTTAGGGAAACACTGTTTTTATATACATATTTGAAATAAGTAAAATAAATTAAATACTATTCACATTATTCCGAATTACTGGATGTAGATCAAATCTGTACAAGGTAGCTGCGGTTGACTATAATTCGCTTCGTGTAGTAGTCTGAATTGGTGCCATTAACGAGAAAAAATTATTATACTCGCTTACAAAATACATATAGTTTCTTAGGAAACTTTTTGGTTTACTATGAGGCCACAAAAAAAGGATTTATAGATTAAAATTAATAAAAGCACTAAAAAAAATATCGTTCGTCGATAAAAAAAGGGTATAGGTAATTGTCCGTATAAGGCTATGATATGATTTTGTATGGATTGCCAACCTTACCCATGCACGTGTTTGTACTTTTTTTAGGCTTACTATACATATCTTTTTAATATAATTTTCAGATAAACTATCTTATAACGAAACGCATTTGAACACCCTAATGTGTCATTTATTAGACTATATTTTACAATTACGTCTTGTTATAAATAGAAGTCAAAATATTCCAAAATACAGTTGTAACACAATTTCCACAATCAATTATTATTTATCACTTAGAAAAAATCTTAAAGTGATGTTCAAGTTACTTCTGGTTTTATAAACCAATTCTTGTAATTTAATACCTCTTAAAAAATTACTTATTTATGTACGATTATTAATCTCTTGGGTTGTTCAGTTCAATGAGAAGGAGTTCACAGTTTCTTATCAAGGGTAGTCCAGAAATAATTTTCCAATACGACATAAAACACAGAAGGAAAACAGAAACATCAGGCTTTGTTTAAATCGTCGACCATCTCATTATGGTACACCCAAGTATAAATGATTCTTTCCAGGTACATGCCCTGAATGGCAACATCGCACATTACTTTTTCTTGGGTGACCAGAGATGGCGTTAGCTCTAAATGGCAGCCAGACTTCTGCCATGAAAGAGTAAAAGAAAGAGAGAGAGAGAGCAGAGCCATGAAACGCGCGAGAGTGTTTACATTTTTAAACTAGTCTTCTGCTAGCACTATCAATACAGCATAGTGACAGTTCATCAGTCACAAGCGTGATTTAAGGTAGTTACACCTAACGAGTAGGTAACAGCTGTTTAACTTGGTTCTTACGTCTCAGCTTTCAAGCAAAAAGTATTGGTACCTGATAACCTCATAAAGAAAATGTATTCCACACCTTTCTGTAAAATCGTCCTGGTGATTGTGTAATGCAAAAGCCTCTTTAGTCATAATTCTCTAGACATCTCTCAAAGTTGGCTTTTCAGATAAGTAGCTGTCAATAATTGATTTACCTTCATAAAGTGCATGGAAAGTAAGTAAGTGATTAGATGCTTTGTGTGTATATATTTGATGTGTTACAGGGTGACATGTCTTAGGTGAATCACAAGCCTGCATTGGTATTCAAAGATAAGTCTAATGCAAGATGAAAGATGCTGTCAAATAGTTGTTTGTCGGAGATAAGCTGAGATTTCGTTAAAAATTGATCTCTTCTTATTACTGGCTGCACCGTTTCAAATCAACAGATTATTTTTCCATAAGTAGACCACCTTTTTTCATAATATAGTTGTCAAATCGCTTTATACTTAACCTTTTACAGCCATTGTTTGAATATGATGTTACACAAATGCAAACTGGTAATGCTTTTTCTTTATGGTGATTAGATTACTTGCTTGGGGCTTTGTCGACAACAAGATGAGGACAGAAGCTTCGTAGGGGACTTTGATTCTGTGCGTCCAACAAAGAACTTGATGAAGAAGCTGTTGCCAATAACAAGCTAGCTATCAAACATAAAATACAAATACAGCTGGTGAAATAAGCTCGTATTAACATGTGATTTTCTTGCCTGGATACAGTGGACAAATGCTTATGAACGGCATGAAGGGTCTTTTTTCCAACACTTGAGAAGGCTTTGGAAACTTTGGTCAGCCTTATCACAACCAGTTGTATTGTAATGGAGACTTAAGTGCCTGGGGAACGTCAAGAAAAGCCAGCTACGAGGACCACTACCAGCACCGTAGCAGAGATAGTTATATTTTTAGTATTGGAGGTTATCCATTAGTCAAAAATAATGTGTTATGATGATTTGCGGCAGTAATTAGAAAAATTTGCTTATAAAAAAATGTAAATAACCGTGTACGACAAAATATTGTATAACTCCACTACTATGTAGGTGCAGAGACAGGAGCAGCCTCAGCCCACTTCATTGCATAACAACCAACCCGCTGCCGTTTCGGCATTTTTGCCGGAAATTGAGCCTAAAGATCCCCGTAAGATAAGATGGGCTAGCGTAGCCAGCCAGCCGGCACAATCTGTATCCTCTACCCAAGGCCTTAAAAGGAAAACTGGTGTCACCCCACCAACGATAATACCTGGCAAGCATAACATGGACATTGTTACTCAGGGTGAGGGTAAATCCTCCATGCCACCACCAAAGGCTCCACCGCCACCCTCATCACCTACGCTACAACCAGCTATGCCATCAACCCAACTACCCGCATCCACTGCTGTTGAGAGACAACTGCCATAGAAAGGATAACAGCGTCTGGCCTACCATCAGGAAACAGAATTCATAAAATAAGTCATACAATTAATTCCTTTTTTCACATAAATTTGGGTCAAGTGACTTGATTCTTATTGGTTTTATATATATTTGTATTTTATTCCAGATTTTAAATTTGTGATACGTAACTCGTGTAGCTCGCAGGAACACGATACGTCCTACTGTTGTGCGCAAGGTTTTAGTGCTGCCAGAAATGTGTGCAAATAAATTCAAGTGATACTTTCAACTAACAAAAAATTCCAAATAAATTTGTCAAATTGTAAGCAGGACTTATAATATTGTATGCTGACACTGATTTCAAAGTTACCTTCGATATTATAAGCAAATAACTATGAAAATATTAATTAATAAGTTTATTTATGTTTGTTACTTTTTTGTCGAAGGAACTTGAGTTACTAAAATAAACAGGCTGATGAATAATAATTACAGCATTTATTTTTTAAATACATAGTGGTAACTGATGCATAAAGATAAGCAATTTTTAAACATAATTTGGTTGGAAAAAAATGGAAAATTAAAGTGAAAGGTGAAAAAACAAACCCATTGTTAGTGAAACGATTTAAGCATATGGGTATTAAAATATTTTTAATAATTAATATAACCACCATCAGCTTCAATTAATTTCTCTAAGCGAGCTGGCATAGAGTGTGCCAATTTTTCAAAGTACTGGGGTTTAGCCATGAGATCATCCCATTCTCGAGTAACTGTTTCATGTAGGGTGTCAGCATTTTGTATCATACCAGGGCGCCAATCTCTGACCATTTCAGACCATACGTTTTCAATAATATTCAACTCTGGTGAGCCATGATTTTATTCATTAGGATAATATTCTATGTATTTGTTTATAATCTTTAAGACCAAAATCGTTACTATGGAAGAGACTTCCACTTTTTGGCGTCTGGCGCCCTGAATATTATCCAAGTTACAACACTCATTACGGTTCATTTTAGTTTGCTTTGTATACATTAATATTAATTGTTTTTTGTATTTCACTGAGGGGGGGGGAATCATTTTCCAAACGGCCAAAACGTTTCAAATGTTTGTCTCTAACAAAACTGTTAATTTTTACCATTACAAGTGTTAATATTAAGGGTGTTCTAGTTGAAACTAGTTAGCATATTGCGTATATTAAGAAATTAATATGATCAAAGAGTAAAAAAAAGTTTTAGGCTTATTACTTACTACACTATTATTTTGATTTTATTTTCATACTGTCTACTGTTATTGGTGTAACTCATGTTAATAATTATACCATTTCTTTCCATTACTTGCAACTGATACGAATTTTCCAAAGTAATTAAACTATTATGCTCATGATTAAATGTATCATATTTTTGTTTTGTACTTTCTAAAAACCTTTGATTCCGATGGATGTATACTTTTTAATTACTCACCCCTAAGGCTATTGCATGACCGATGCCAAATTTAGGTACATTTCTTGCCCATAAAGGTTTGAAGTGGTCTGTCAAACAGATTTTTCCTCCTCTGTACATCTTGGCAGTTTTTCCATCAAGTTCTGGTAATGCTATTTCAGGAGCAGTAGTTGGATATGTTACTGGTATCTTAAATATTTTTTTTATGAGTTATTAACCTATCCAATGAGATTTACATAATACATAATATGTTACAATATTTACTTACATCAAATTCTATTTCGAATTCATATTTCAGAAGATTGTGAATGTACCAACACTTCCCAAACCATTTCGTTCCTTGTTCGTTAGATTGTAAGCGAAACCAGTCATTGTCAGCTTTTTTGTTGTTTTCTACATACTATAAGAAATAAGAGAAATGAAGGTCATTTTCATTTTTAAATAAATAAAAAAAAAATGCAATTTTTTCTATAAAAATCAATGTTGCTTATTATTAAACAAAAATTTACATATTCATATTTTCCGGGCTTGTAAAAAAAATTTTCCTGTGTTTTTTAAATCTGTCTACTACAGAAAAATTAAATTTAACAAATTAAAAAGTAATTTTTTTCAACTTTTTTATAGACATCTATTACTGTCTCTTCGGCTGTCACTCTATTGAAGAGGCTAAATCTAAATGCGAAGAATTGTGTGACATAACGAAACAGGGTGGTTTTATCTTAAAAAATGGTTTTTTATGTCGCTTTAGCTGCTCTTATCATCACAGGCTAAACTACTACTAATAAACTTAGAATCGTGCCCGCGTCGAGAGAAAAATCATGGAGCAAATACATAGTGGTGATAGAAATGCCTTCCCCTTTTTTAACCCTATACGATTGGCTGATTATATGCATATTTTTAACACATGAAAGTCTATTCAAGGTGTTAAACGACTAAGAACTAACTACTAACACCGACCTGATGATTGGATTCAGAACTATACATTTTCTTAAAGTATGCGCTCAGATTATCACTGCAATATCAAAAGAAATTAGTTTTTTTATCTTTAACCGATTTAATTGATTTTGTAGGTAAAGGTTCGCGCAAATACGTAGAAGGTTAAAATGTGACCAACGCTATCTACATTTTTTACTGTTTAACTAAGGCACAGTCTTTGAATGAAGAGTCTTTGAAGATAACATAAGTCTACTTAAGTTTGAAGTTCATTGATTTGTTGGGAAAGCACCATAAATTGAAAGTCCAAAATAATAAACCATGAGTAAAAAAAAAATTTTAATTGTTACTACACTTGTCCTGCTGGATCTAGAGAAAAGTTTAAATACATTGGTGCACTTATTTTTTAAGCAAGTTATGTCAACAAGATATTCCATAAGCATAAAGGGCATTTCTGAAAATTAAATTAATTATATTGTATACATCATTAAAAATGAAATTAGCACAAATGGGGCCAAAGTTCAAAAAACATTGCAAAAGCAATGTACAAAGTTATAGCAATACAAAAATTTTGAATCACCTCGTTTGGACTCTTTGAAATTGAAAGACAAATAATGTTAGATGGTGTGGTACTTTGACGAATATGACCTTGGTTAAAAAAAATTTTTTTTTTGCAGAAAATTCAAAACTCGGTAAGGTAGTTAAATATAAAAACATCAAAAATTTTTCCAAAATATTGTGCAGATATCAATACCCGTTACTTTATGGCACGTTCTTGCAGAATCAAGAAGGTAGGATGATTTTATCAAAAATTTATTTTAAAACAAAGTCATTACATCCTATTTGCTACTATCACCAAAATCCAAAGTACCTTGAAATTGTCAGATACAGTAATTATTCTCAGAAGCATAAAAACTTCTACGCTGAATATGTGCTTGGATGTGGCCAGTGCAATCCAATTGAGCTGGCAATCAAGGAAAAAATGAACGACTCAGAATACATTGCCACAATAATTTGAGCTTATACTTCAAGGAAACATATAGTTCTGAATTCAACCATCAGATTGGCGCTAGTCATCGTGTAACACCTCGCATAAGCACTAGTCATAAAGCAAACGCATTAATCTAGTATAACTTTTTTTATCGTGCCTATGCTTTTTCAGAAGGGAGAAGATACCGTACTGTAGCCAGCTATAGTGTGTAGTGGACTAGCAATGTCTACGTCTATACGACTGAAAAATTTAAAGTGAGTCAAAATACATGTTAAATTATTTGAAACTGGCTGAAAATGAGATTTGTTATATTTATAAATGTAGTTAACATTGAACACCAAGTCCGATCGCGAAATTTCAAAATGACAAGCCATTGCAAGATTATTAACATAAAACATTGATTCCTCGTACAATTGCAAAACCGCTATGAATCAAGATCTGCTTTTCTTCAATCGGTGAGTACTAATAAAATCCTGGCTTCTTAAAGTTCAGATTTTTAAACAAATAAATTAAAGAGTTACGTAACAAAACACAGAAAGGACAGGAGGGAAAAGAAGAAAATGCCAGGAATGTCGATTAACAGGCAGATTAGCATGGGCAATTCTGCGCGGGAGAAGCAAATTCTTCACAGTCTACTACGACCATATATTCTCCCGGCATATTGTTTTAGTTTTGGTTTGTGTTTCTCTGCTTTGACATAAGTGCGAGCCTCGTCAGGGAACAACGGGAACAACTGCAAGGAAGCCGAGCCAGGGCCAGCACTAAATCAGCAACAAGTGTCTGCGAGATACCAAGAGTACCCGGTTACGACCGATCACGAGTGACACCAGTAGAAACGCCTACAGGCTTGACCATGTGTAATCACTAGCTCCTTCGCTTCAAAAGGATAGCAACGATATCAAATCTTGAGCACCGTTGATATTTGTAAAGGATAGCGGCATTCAATTTAACTCGTGTGTGTCTACTCGTATCGTGACCTCGCACCGCGATTCCATTGAGCCTTCATGCTCGACGTACACCCGTATACCCACGAGTATATTTTGTATTTTAAATATTTATCTTTTTTCATTAATATTACTTGCAAATGTATATTGGGGTGTATTCTGTTTTTCTCCCCACTGGTGTTAATAATTATCGCGAGAAGCGACGACGGCTAAAAGGCGCGATGCTGTTGAAGCGTCTCGATGGACGAGAACTGCGGTTATAGAATCTAAGTGCCACCTAGAGGATCCAGGCCACACAAGCCCGATTAAAGTAGCTTTTCACTTCGTTAAACGGCCTCGTACACCATCCCATAATAGTACATGCACAATTTTTCCCATTTCCATCAGATCAATAGTTTCAGCACAATCGAATGATGAAGTTAGCAAGACATTGTGCGCATTTCATAGCAATTAAACGATTCATGCCAGTAGCATGCCGTGCATGCACGGAAGCTCAATTTAAGTTTAACTACAGCCCATGGCAGTTTCAGATTTTTAACCAGAATTTTAGCTGTACAATTAATCATGCAAATACAAGAGCATCTTTGAGAATATGCTTTTCCCCATCCTACGTAATTTTTCTTTAACTTTTTATTAGCGTTATCTATTTTGCCGCATTTCTGCAACTCACCGTAAAATGGATTTTTTTTAGTATATAATACGTGTATGCAGTGATGTGCATGTTTCTGCTACCTAAACATAATGTTTACGTTACAATTCATTATTTGCATGAAAAATCAAGGTAATTTATAGCAAAAACGCACGACATGAATTACATCATACATTTAAAAAAATGCACTTTACAGTAAATTCCATAGGAGATACGGTAAAATAGACATCGCCATTAGAAAACTAATAAAAAATAAGCAGGAGTGTGCAAAAGGGATGTTAAATAACGTTTAATGTCATTTAAGTTTGTTTTCAGCTTCAAATCAAAACTAAAAACTGTGGACTACAGTCTCACGCTCCTTCACAGGCTGCGGGACAGCAGATAGTCCAACTATTTGTTTGTTTAAGAAAAATTAAAAGGAAGGAAGAAGTAGAGTGTTGAATACAATATCCAGACTAACTTACCTTTCTTTCAGCTAATTATTGATTCTGGTGGCCTGCGCTTCCTCTTTCCGTCGATTTATAATTACTTATTTTTTTACTTATTTATTTGTTATTTATTATTTTATAATAATTTAAATTCCTTTTTCCATTAGTTTTATATCACTTTATTTTATATTACTAGTATACATATAAAATAAAACAGAAAAGGAAAAAATAGACGGAACGTCTGGTTAATCTTATAAAATTGATTATTACGTCTGCACTTGATGAGCGGCAGCGGGCTACTGACTAAAACGCCGCGCAAAGAAATGCACCTTGCACGAAGTTTTAGTTAAACTTCTTTGTCTTACTTGCTATGGGGCCGGTACTTGCTGACTTGATGTGTTTAGGCTTCATGGCTCGCTTCGGTTGTCACTTGACACTTCCAAGAGCCACGAAGTTCACAGTCAGCTTTGTTAGGCGACGACTCTCGTTGAGTATGACTCTGTAAAGAGTCTTAAAATTTTATCATTGGGAATGAAATATAACAGGATAAAATAGAATAAAAATAAAAATTTATTAATTTACGCAAGTCATCACCTAACAAGGGAATTTTCATAGATGGTATTGTTTGTGTTTTTCAACTGAAGTTACAGCTAAAAGTTTGAAACTTCAACGTCCCAAAGTTTGACGCAAATTGAGCTTTTGCGCATGTGTGGCACATCTCTGGTATCACGCGCACAATTGCCATGAATGGAAGAAAATATAAGTGTAGGCTTATTTCAGAACGTTATAAGACTTAAAAATGTGTTTTGCTATGTGGTATGGAGAAAAAAAGATTATGCTATTTTTAGCAAATAACGTTATCAAAGACAGTATCATTGATAGTACACTAAAGAAAGTTCTAAAAAATGTGAACAATGATTTAAAATGTTTAACAGCATTTTAATGAGATTTTGGTATCAAGTATACTAAATTATTGAATAATTTCAATATACATATTTAAAGCATGACAAATGCAGCATGAAAACTTCTTCCATCGAAGTTGGCATTTGAAAACTGTTAAATCGGTTAGAAAAGATCGCAACAACTTGATTGAGACTTGTTATTAGCCGTGAATTAATCATTGTCGATGAAGAAAATGAGTTAAGGGGTCAACGAATTATTTTTTGACATAAGGCCATTTTTTATTTTGACGACACAAAAACCAAAAAAAACCAACTAAAAAATTTCAAAATTAGTTTTTATACTAACTTCACTAGACTTCAAGTTTTATTTGATTTGAATTAAATGTAATAATTGGATTTTATACAAGTCATTATGTAGAATAATGACCCAGCACTGCACGAGGACTTCTTAAATGTTGAATTGTTCCGAATTTTTGGAAAATCCACGAAATGGTGCGGCAAATTTTCACAGTGTATCTTTTTACATTTCTTAAACTAATTTAATTACTTAAAA